GGCGATTAATAAAATTAGGTGCATTCCTGACTGGCAACAACGAATAAGCGTCAAAAAAGAACAATAGAATAAGAAAAATTTGAAGAGGATATTCTCTTAGTCTGATTTGTCTGAAAATATATTTAAGTATGAATTCGCTCACTATAGATCTAAGCCATTATAGTGATGACGGAATTAATCAAGATCGAGTAATGGCGCCACGATTCAATAATTTAAACAGTAATTCGAATAAAAAAACTTATAGGCAATTTGAATTTAAATTGTCATACAAAAGAAGAGCTGATGGTAGTCCCAAAGCTCTGCTTATGCACGAAAAGATATGAGACTGAAACATACCTTGATAGCCGACTGGACCTTTTCAAAAATCATCGTTTTAGCCATCTTTACGATAGTATCAATGTATTTCTGTGGAATGACCGAAGCAACCTCTTCGAACTCGTGTCTAGTTAGCTCATTTATTGAGGACTCGTATTTGGGGTCACCAGCTCGGTCGCTATTTATCGGATCAGAAGCAAAGGGAAGATAGAGACGAGCTGCACTTTGAAGCAATGTGATGGCTGAACGCAAATCGCCTCGAGAAATGTTTAATAAGCTCATTAGAGCCTATTAGCAAAAATAAATTATTTACAAAACAATAGTGATGTATTTAAAAAGAGCGGAAGGGCTACCTCGTCCGATACGCAAATATTTTCAGCGTCAGCAATATATCTTAGTCGATCTTTCGCCGCTTCATTATCCAAAGGACGAAAACGAAATTTTGCACAGCGACTAGTAATCGGGTCAATTATCCTCGTGACATAATTACAGGTAAGACAAAATCGAGTGGTCCGAGTTTCTGTTTCCATAGTTCGTCGAAGAGCAGCCTAGTTTATGAATAGATTATGGAATAAGAAGAAAGTGGCCACGCCAGGCAAATAGAATACCTGGGCAGGTGCAGTCATTGAATCGGCTTCGTCCAAAATAATTAATTTGTACGGTGGAAGCGCCCCTGGTTTTCCTAGGTTGGCATGGCTTACCGCGAGATGAGCAAATGCCTTTACTTTTTCTCTAACTACATTAATTCCGCGTTCGTCACTAGCATTCAGCTCAAGGACACGTTCAGAGTAAAGAGGTCTTTAAATAAAAATAACATAATTACCCAAAAAGCTGTTTGGCAAGAGCAAGTATCAGAGAAGTCTTACCCGTCCCAGGGCGGCCATAAAACAGAAGGTTTGGTAGCTAGTAGATATAAAACAACATGAAAAAATACATCAGCTCCTTCAAGGCACTTTTTAAGGACAGAAACTACTTCAGTTTGGTGAGCCACTTCATCGATGGTTGCAGGCCTGCTATTTAAGTAATCAATAACAGAGAAAACTAACTATTTTTCAATCCATGGAACATTTGCCTTAGTTTTTACCGTTTTCTTTAAAGGCTCCGGCTTGTTCTTTGAGCCAGTTAGGAAGGCGTCCATCGGGGCAATTATAAATGAGAAATCAAATAGCGCATCCATAAAAGTGTATTAGTTAATGTGTATATATTAATAAAACTTTTAAGAATATAAAAATAAATTATAGGTAAAATAAGGTTTTTGTTTTTGCTGTATGAGGCGCTTGATTTGACCTTGTGCTATGCATCCTAAGAACCGCCCTACTGGTAGTGTAACTCCTCGAAGTTAGTTTTAAACAAATCTTGTTTTTCTTTTAGGCAATACTCTAGAAGATTCTAAAGTGAGATTTCAGATAGAATTAGAATTCGTTCAATGTCTCGCAAACCCCCACTACCTAACGTGTAA